AAAAAAAAAAGGCCAAAGACCTTAATAGACACCTCTGCAAAGGTGATACTTAAGATTGTATTATACTGCATGCAAATTTAGAACAATGATATACCACTATACAGTTAGAAGAATGGCCAGAATCTAGATTTTGTTGAGGACAGGAAGCAGTGGGAACTCATTCATTGCTGGCAGAAATATAAAAATGGTACAATCACTTTTGAAGACAGTTTGGCAATGTTCTAACAAAATCAAACACGTTCCTGCCATCTAGTCCAGCAACCATGCTCCCTGGTATTTACTCAAAGAAGTTGAAAACCTACATCCACACAAAAACCTGCACACATTATAGCAGCTTTATTTATAACCTGAAAGCAATCCTATAGTAGGTGAATTGATAAAACATTATATCTAAACTGGAATATTATTCAGCACTAAAAAGAAATGAGCTCTCAGGACTAGGGCTATAACTCAGTGGTAGAGTACCTGTCTGCCATGCACAAGGCCCTGAGTTCCAACCCCAGCACCACCAAAAAAGAAATGAGCTCTCAAGCCATGCAAACTTGCAAGAAACTTAAATGCATACTACAAGTGAAAGAAACAAAATGTGAAAAGGCTATTGTATGATTCCAACTATAAGATGTTCTAGAAAAACTATGAAGATAAGAAAAATTAGTGATTGCCAGGAGTTAAGGGAGAGAAAAGGATGAACAGCAGAGTACAGAGGATTTCAGTGAAAATATTGTAAAATATCCTAGTGGATACATGCTATTATAAATTCTAAGCCCACAGAATACCTGATGGTATTGAACCCTGAGACTGAACCCTGTGTTAGTCAGCTTTCTACTACTGTGACAAAATACCTGAGATAACCAACTTAAAAGAAGGAAATATTTATTTTGCCTTATGGTTTCAGTCTACAATCACTTGGCCCCATTGCTTCCAGGCCTGTGGCAAGGCAGTGTATCAAGACAGAACTGTGGCAAAGGAAAGCCGCTCACCTCAATGGCAGCTAAAAAGCAAAGAGAAAAGGAAGAAAGGGCTAAGGTCCCAATATACCCTTTAAGGCCACGCCCTTCATGACCTATTTCCTCCAACTAGGCACCACCCCTAAAATTTCTACCACCTCCCAATACATGAACTTCAACATATGAGCCTTTAGGGAACATTCCAGATTCAAGCCACAAAAAACCCTAATGTAAACTATGGACTTCAGGTGACAAGGATGCAGCAAGGTATTTCATCACCTCTACCAAATGTGTCACTCTAATGGGAGTTGTTGATAATCTGGGAAGCTGTGCATATGTGGGGAGCAGGAGATATATGGGAATTCTCTGTACCTTCCTCTCAATTTTGCTGTGAATCTACAACTGCACAACAAAGTGTTTAAAAATAAATAGATCACATCCCCAGAGGAATACTGTAAGAGTGAATTGAAGTTTTATAAAAATAAATCAAAAATAAAACAACTGAGCCCAAATACGTATCAAATTGATGGCTTACTGACACAAAAATTATTTAAAGGTACTTTGTTATAATTTTTGCAAAATACCTAAAGAAAAAAATACAAAGTAAGCTCAAGTTTTTCTAAGTAATCAGAGCATTAATAATACAGTTATTATCCTCAAACTACTTTAGATATAATGATTGATAAATAAGTAGAAGTCTTCGGGAATGAAGATGTTTGGCATAGGAAAGACACATGCCAAAAAAAAATAATAATAATAAGGCTGAGTGAAAACCTTATGTCCTAAATTTAATTTATAAGCAGCAGCATGAACTCACAATGTACTTGCCCTTTAAAAAGTGTGTACAGGACTGGTGAAGTGGCTCAAGCAGCTATGAGTGCCTGCCTTCCAAGTGTGAGGCCCTGAGTTCAAGCCCCAATGCATCCAAAAAAAAAAGTGTGTCCAAGCAGGGGGCACCGTGCCTCATGCCTATAAACTCCCTCACTACTGAGGAGGCTGAGATCAGGAGGATTAGCCACCCCAGACAAAAAGTTCATGAGCCCCATCTCTACAGAAAATGCTGGGAATAGTGGTGTACACCTGCCATTCAGCTACAATGGAAAAGTATAAATAGGATTGTGGACTGGCCCAGACAAAAAGCAAGAGCCTATCCCAAAAATAAGTTAAGTAAAATGGGCTGATTGTGTAGATCAAGTGGAAGAGCACCTGCCTAGCAAGCATAAAGTTCAGTATCCCCAGTACTGAGGGAAAAAAAGGCCTGTCCACTGAAAACTCTAAACATTTAAACATGACCATCCCAACAGAACTTAGACCATGATATGCTAAAAACATATGCTGGTAAAAGGATTTTATGAGAGCTAGAAACATGTAACTTGCCATAGAGCTAACCAAGATGTGTCTAAAGAACCTAGAAAGCAACTTGAAGCATTTCCTTCTAGCTAAGACTGAGGCAACTCAAGAGAAAGTATTAAATATAATCATTTCTAGTGGGTGAAGGATGTAAAAACTGTTTAAGCCCATCAGTTAAATATCATTAACTCATCACTGAGTCACCATTAATCATGAAATCTGAGTTCATTATGATATCAAAAAAGACTACTCATCTTCAGAAAATGCTAGGGAACCAACTCAGTCTAAAAGCTGACAAAGATAATATAGCACATACTCTAGAATTCTCAATTTCCTATAAGAACTATGCCTCAAGCTAGTCACAAAGTTTATAGGACAGCAATATGATATAAATAAATAAATAAAATAAGATTGAACAAAGCTTCACAGTCCAATGTGGTAGCCAGCAGACACATGTGATTGTGAGCATCTGACATAAGGCTAGTGCAATTTAGAAACTTATTTTCTAATTTTAAAACGTTACTTAATTTAAGTTCAAGAACTGATCACTGATGCAATTCAGTTACTGGAAAGCTTTTAACTATGGTTTGGACTAACTTAAGTGTGTAAATCTAATTTTTCAACTATGAATTTTTTGGAAATCTAAATAGAGGTCAAGAATCGAGATGTGCTAACAAATGTAGAATTACTGGTATCAAAGACATAGTACTACAGAAAAAAGGTAAACTGTCTCATTAATAATTTTATGTTGCTGGACACCAGCAGCTTACAGATGTGAGCTATAATCCTAGCTATTTGGGAGGCTGAGATCAGGAGGACTGTGATTCAAGGTCAGTCCAGGCAAACAGTTCATGAGACCCCATCTCCAAAATAAGCAGAGCAAAATGGCTCAAGTGATAAGAGTACTGGCTTTGAAAGCACAAAGCTCTGAGTTCAAATCCCAGACCCACCAAAAAAATTTATTTTTATTACAGCATTTGGGAGGCTCAGGCAGGAGGACTACAAATTCCAAGCCAGCCTAGGCTACATAATGAGACCCTGAGTCAAAACATATTTTTGTTTTTTATATATGTCAGATGAACTGAAATGTACTATAATAAACTCCATCAGTTTCTTTTTAATTTTTAAGTGTGGCTACTAGAAAATTTAAAGGTACACATATGTCTCACATTTGTGGCTTGCATTACATTTCTATTGGACTACTCTGGACAGTAGGCCCAGAAAGAGTCCCACACAGATTACCTGATTTATAATAAAGGTGATACAGCAAGTATGGTGGGGAAAGGGTGCTCTTTGTCTTTTCAATAAATTTGACTGAGTGACCAGGAAAAAAAAAAAGAAGAACTGAGCATATTTTGCAGTCTCCCAGTGCTGCACAGCTCAGCCTGCCACATGGAGAGGCCCTGTTAAATACCCCAGTCTTCTATTCAGACCCACAGAAGGACTATGCCCCATAAGTCAGAGCTATATCCCTCTTCTAGAAGAGCACCAAAATCTAACTGCCAAGCTACAGCTACAGCAACTCAAGGTAACCTACCCTTACAGCACCAGCCTGCTGGAATAAGGATAGGTAACAGACCACATTAACTGTTTTGGTTAAAAACCAGAGTGTCAGAGAAAATCTCACCCAAAACCTTACATTCGAGGAAAAGGAATTATCAGATGACTTTATTAGAAATAATGGACTTTAGATTACAATAAAAAGGTATCTTTGAAGAGAAAAAAATACTACCAAGATGGCCTTCAAAATACCGATGAAATAAAAAGGTTTTCAGAAAACTCAAAACAGAATTTCACTAATAAACTATAAAGAAACTCTTTAAGCCAAAGAAAAATTGTCAAATGATCAAAATACAAGAAGAACACTTAGATTAACACCAAATAAATATTGATGTTTGATGCTTTGAACAGTAATAACAGAGGATTACAGGGCTTTAAAACGTGTATAATTAAAACAGGTGGCAAGAAATACACGTTAGGAAGCAAACAGACTTAACAATATGCCGGTGACTCAATAAATCTAAAAATGGAAAGGCATAAACAACATAGCAAATAAAAGGATGGGAAAAGACTCACCACTAAAATACTCTAACCAAAAGAAAGTTGGGTTGACTAATATCAAACTACACATTATAAGGCAAAAAGTATTAATAAATACAAAGAGGAACATTTTTAACGAGTAGTGTTTCAGATTAACAGGAACTGTAATACTAAATTTGTATGTAACTAATAACAAGCTCACAAGCGTATCTCAAATTTGAAATTTTCCTACTTTATCACAGAATCCAGTTTATAGTCACTAGAAAACATAGCTACAGACAACTATTTTCTCTTTAAAATAAAATCATCAGAAGCACCATTTGTCCACATACAGCAATGTAAAGAAAAAAACACACTGGTACATGTTTTCATAAATATATTGTAATGTACAATTTCAGAGAATCTAAACTTTCTTAAATTTAATTTTCAGATCCTTCACAATTTGAGAATTGTGAATAATCAATAATGCCTCAAAATAATCTTGACTATAATCTTTCATGGTCTATTAACTGAAACTGATGTTATTAAAGAAGAAAACTCCATAGTGACATTAGAAAAATTCCCACCACCTGATTTCTTATCCTGTGTCAGGTGAATCTGGAATTAGAGTCCTGCAGCCCTTCTTATACAACCCACAACTGTGTATGGTGTCGCTCCACATCTGCCTTCTAGAATTTTTTTCTGAAAGCTACATTTTTATAAGTGATGAAACTGTGTCAAAAAGAATTTGTAATATAAAATCAAAGTCTTTGCCAAGTTTTTCTAAAGTCTTATGATCTAACCAACTCTACAGAAATTAGGGATGGGGACAAGTAATTCTAATTCATCAATCAGACTAACCTAAACAGTCTTTACACTGTCAAGTTAGTTCTAACCAATTTTAACAGCTTAAAGAGACCAATGTTTCCTCAATCAAAGGAAGAAATTATACTTCAAGGATTTTCTTGCTGTTCCATTCCCAAACTCAGGTAACCAAAGCTACCAGGCTTTGGTTTATACAAACTAAAACTTTGTATAAAATTATACAAACTTTATCCAGGATCACCTGGAATCAGAGTTTAGCTTCATGATCTCTTTTAATCTTAAATCTTTTCAACAAGGTCAGTGTAGAACTTAAAACCTCTATTGTCTACTTTTAAGAACTTTCAAAAGGGAAACTGTTTCAAATAGTTCACTGTCCAAATCTATTTCTTTTTAGGGTAACATTTCTCAACAAGAAGAAATGAAAGTTTTAAGATATAAACAATGTTAGAGTTGAATCCATATTAACATGTTCACAGACTCTAACTCATGTTTGTTCACTGGAAGACATTTCTTCAGGAAGTCAATTATGTCCACATTCTGTAATGACTCACACCAGACATACGTGTGTGTATGTATGTATGTATATACAAAGTATTTTATTCCCTGCAAAATGTAAAGATAGAATAGCAAATTCTTAAATTAAAATAACTTTTTTTGTTGAAAAAGTCCATACCTGTATTTTGCTTTTTCATGAACCCAGACATACTCAGGGTTTTTCAAACTCAAGCGAGCAAGGTCCTTTACAGATTTGGTTTGTGTGGCTGAGAAAAGTAAAGTCTGACGTTTCTTAGGAAGATTTTCAATAATAGCATTCATGGTATCAGCAAAGCCCATATCCAAGATTCTATCTGCTTCATCAAGAACTAAAAAAGGAAAATGCAAGTTGGACTATAATATTTCAAACATACACTAAGCTAAATGCAACGTATTACCCTGAAGTGGTTCTAAAGCAGAAAAAGATATGAAATGGGCTGGGAATGTAGATCAGAGTAAAGCAACTTGCCTAGCATGAGTGAGACCCTGGGTTCCAATCCCAGAACCACAAAAAAGTGAGAAAAAAACATTAGTGGAAAAAAACTGATGAAATCTGAATAAAGTCTAGAGTTTAGTTTACTCAGCAGAGCAATGTTAATTTAATTTTTGACAAAGGTATCATAATTATATAAGAGCTTAACCTGGCCCAAAAGACCAAAAATTGTATGTTCTCCCTCATATGTGGACATTAGATCAAGGGCAAACACAACAAGGGGATTGGACTTTGAGCAC